GCCTGCCCATTAAGGGCTTTGTAGGCGAGAAGAATAATTTTAAATTATATCCTGTGTTCTATAGGGAGCCAGTGTAAGGCAGCCAGAACAGGAGTAATGTGGTCCCTTTTCCTAACTCTGGTTAGTACACGAGCTGCAGCATTTTGAATCAGCTGAAGCGACTTGACTGACTTCTTGGTACACCCTGATAATAAGGAGTTACAATAATCCAGCCTTGAAGTAACAAATGCATGGACTAGTTTCTCTGCATCGTTTTGAGGCAAGATATGCCTGATTTTTGCAATGTTACGTAGATGGAAGTAGGCAGTCCTTGAAATTGATTTTATGTGGGCGTTAAAGGATAAATCCTGATCAAATATAACACCAAGATTCCTTACAGTCTCACTGGAGGCCAAATTAATGCCATCCATAGTTGGTATATCTTTAGATAATTTGTTTCGTAGATTCTTTGGGCCAAGTACAATAACTTCAGTTTTGGTCGTGTCAAAAAATGTAAGGTCATCAACGTTTTTTAGTCCTTGAGGCAGTCTTGAATTTTATTTAGATGATTAATTTCATCAGGCTTGATTGATGAATATAGTTGAGTATCATCCGCATAACAATGAAAGTTTACAGAATGATTCCTTATAATATTGCCTAACGGAAGCATATATAATGTGAACAAAATAGGTCCGAGCACTGAGCCCTGTGGCACTCCATGGCTAACTTTGGTTTGCGTGGAAGATTCATCGTTGACACGTACAAACTGAGAGCTTTCAGATAGATAGGACCTAAACCAGCCTAAAGCAGTTCCCTGTATATATCATGGTCGATAGTATCAGATGCAGCACTGAGATCGAGCAAAACAAGAATAGAGACAAGTCCCTTGTCTGAGGCTATTAGAATGTCATTTGTGACTTTAACCAGAGCTGTCTCTGTGCTAGGATATGTTCTAAAGCCAGACTGAAAATCTTCAAATAAATCATAGTTTTTTAAGTGATCACACAGCTGTTTTGCGACTGCTTTCTCAAGAATTTTTGAGAGGAACGGAAGATTAGAAATAGGTCTATAGTTGGCTAAAACCTCGGGATCGAGGTTGTGCTTTTTAAGAAGCGGTTTTATCACTGCTACTTTGAATGATTGTGGAACATAGCCTGATAATAAAGACATATTCATAATATTTAATAAAGAAGTGCTAATTAATCAATTAGGTCACTGTCTGTTGTTTCTCCAGGTCACGTGGACTTTACCATTGAGGTGGAGCGAGCGCTGCGTGTGCTGGACGGTGCTGTGCTGGTCCTGTGTGCGGTGGGGGGAGTCCAGTGTCAGACTATGACAGTGAACAGGCAGATGAAACGCTACAACGTCCCCTTCCTCACCTTCATCAACAAGCTGGACCGCATGGGCGCCAACCCCAACCGAGCCCTGCTGCAGATGAGGTACAGTATTTATCAAATCACAAGTGATAACGTAACAATAGATACTCTATTAAAAGACCAATATCGTCTAACCATTCGTCAAATTAGTAAGTGTGCCAAACTGTTAGATAGATGTCGATAACTAGTGTTTTATTCAGTCTAAAGACAGACAAGGGTTTTGTTAATGTATAATACAGATTGTAAACCAGGAAATCGCGATGATAAAAAATCCTGTTTTCGAATGTTTTTCCTGAGATTTTGTTAATAGTAATAGTTTTAATATACTGAGAAATAGACCTGGATGCAAGAAAATTAGAAGTAAGGATTGATTCAGACTCATGCAGATGTGTTTTTATGGTGCCCACTAGGGCTGCCCCAGTGCCCCCAATAGTCAACTAATCGCGAGTCGACTATTAAGGTCTTAGTCAAGCAATTGTTCATTAGTCGATTAGTTGAAAAAGAAAAAAAAAAGATTTACAACAAAAAAAACATGTGACTGCTGCGTTCCCTGTGTTGAATCAGACGGAGCTGTGCCAACTTGTTATTGGACTAATTATGTCAGGCAGGAAATAAGAAATGTGAGAGCACTTTGAGCATGACAAGGATGAACCCAAGAAAGTTATTTGCAAACTCTGCAGGCAAAAGTTTGCCTATTATTCGTCGACTTCAAATATGACTTATCGCATGTAAGTACTAGCCTAGCTTAGCCGAGCCACGATGACATAAGTTGTGTTTTGATGTCTCTGTTGTGTATGCGACGATTAGTCGACTAATAAAATTGATGACTATTGGTCGACTAGAAAAATCTTTAGTCGAGGGCAGCCCTAGTGCACACAGAAACAAGCTTAAGTCTTTCATTTAGGCTTGATTAGACATGAAATCATCATTCTATAAGCGATGTTGTTTTCAGCCTCTGGTTTTGTTCCTGTATTTATGATCTGAAGCATATTTATTTTCCTTCCTTAGAACCAAACTGAACCATAACGCAGCCTATGTGAACATCCCAATGGGCCTGGAGGGGAACATACGCGGCATCATCGACCTGGTAGAGGATAGGAGCATATATTTTGAGGGACCTTTTGGGTGAGGGTCTCTCCTTATTGCTACTTGACCTTCAAGATATCTTTTTCTGTTATAGTGTGAATTGGGTATTTGTATATGTAACTTTAGCATTAGGATTCGATTTTAGCACATATGAGTGATTGAAGATCCTTTGCTACAGAACTATAATACCTACAGTGTCAAATCGTTCAAATCATTATCTGTCAGGTTACAAGTGTTTCTTCCTCCCTGCAGTCAAGATATCCGCTATGATGAGATCCCGGCAGATTTCCGCACTGAGGCTGCAGACCGGCGGCAGGAGCTGGTGGAGTGCGTGGCTGACGCTGATGAAATCTTGGGAGAGATGTACTTGGAGGAAAAGCCTCTAACAAATAGCGACCTGAAGGTTTGCCTCTTATAAAGAGAACGAATGTGTGAATTAATGAAAGCTTAACCTGGGCCCTGGAGTTTTCTGATAAACTGCTTGTTTTTTAATTAAAACCTTGAACCAGATTAATCTATCTATATAAATCTTGTCGCCATATGGTGGCGCTAGTTGAACATTTTGAAAGTCATTTTACCACATTTTATGGCAGCCATTTGAAAATTGTAAAGGCCTTTTTTATAAAAAAACCCCCACAAATGTCAACCTAATTAAAAACTAAAACATTTATCCATGCTGCAGCTTCTGAGATATATTAGTTTGGACCAAGTTGTGGAGCGAACCTTGCTCATAAAACATAAGCCTTTTTTCAAATCATTTTCTTAATTTAAACTCCATCAGAAATTCCTCTCATTGCATACCTAAGTTCTGACATTAACGCTATGTGTGCATGAAGAAGGAAAACAGTCTTGTTGCCCCGCTCTCAGACTCTTGTCTCTTCTCTGTGTTGCAGGCTGCGATCCGCAGGGCCACCTTGCAGCGCCTCTTCACTCCGGTGCTGGTCGGCACCGCGCTGAAGAACAAAGGCATCCAAGCTCTACTAGACGCTGTCCTGGATTACATGCCAAACCCCACTGAAGTCAAAAACTATGCCAACTTCAATGATGAGTGAGTATTGACCGGGGTAGTAAATGTGTATGGAAAGTTGCCCTTAAAAGTCTCAGATCATGCAAAATGCACTTTTTGATGTCTTTTATACATAAATATGGGTCCCCGGTGTGTCAGAAAATACAACCCTCTCTCTTTTCCTCCTTACCCAAACCCCTAAAACGGGGCTACAACGGAGCTGATCCAGATTTGCGTCTGAAATGACGTAATATCGGAAACGTGGGATGGCTTTACACCCACGGCCCTATCAGAAACGTTGCTATCAGAAACAATGCGCAATGTTTTGGGAGTAATATGGTCTGTGTTTACATTAGCAAGCATTGCTAACACTCAGAGCTAACGCTGTACTGGAGAGAGTATGTGTAAAGAAGCAGGATATAAAAAGGAACTCACCTTGTGGTAAACCGGCAAGAGAAAAAGCCTTTGAGCTCCATACTGTTTCAGAAATAATCCTTGTTATGGTTTGGAACATAAAATGGCGTTTAATCACGGCAGGGTTTAGCTGAGTATCTGGGTACAATTCTCCTGCATGAGCTCTCGTCTCTTTTCTTTTTCTTTTATTAAAGCTTTATACCCCAAATCAGCACTTTTGAAACAGGAAGTGAAATAGAGGGGTATGAGGTATGGCTAGAATGGGGGATCTGTTTGGTATTTTGAGCAAAACACTTCATAGACATGTTTTTTATATATCTGAGACCTATAATATATGCCTACAAATAGTATAATAGGAGACCTTTTAATAGTGACACTATATTCAATTCAATTAATATTAGATACAATTTGCTGGAGATCTTTAAAATGTGTTTTGAGAAATCTTGACATCAGTTGGTTTCCATTGTGTTAGTGTTGCCGATGAAACAACAAAGATGGAAATGGACCCTACAAGAAACTCTACGAACCCCTTTGTTGCTCTGGCCTTCAAACTGGAGGTCAGTTACTAGCCTTAATCTTTTATATCTGCAATATTGCTTTACAGGAACATTCAAACATGTCATACTTTGTTGTTTCCTGTTGTTCACACTATCAGGCGGGCAGATTCGGCCAGCTGACATATGTGCGGGTGTACCAGGGCTGCCTGAAGAAGGGAGAGCACATCCACAACACACGCACTAACAAGAGAGTCAGAGTTCAGAGGCTAGTGCGTCTCCACGCCGACCAGTTGGAGGTGAGTAGAAGCCTGCACACGTCAGCAGGCTCTCAGAGGTCACTATTTTCCAGTTCTAACAGCAGAGAAACATGACTGGTCAAAATGCTCAGGTTCCTCATTTGGCACCACTCAAGTGTAAATATAAAAACCACATCCCCTGTGACACCAGAGTTTCCATCTCGTAGCATCAAAACAAGAAATTAATGTGATAAATATTCACTCCTATAATAATCACTCAGACTTCCGTTATTAATAACACCGCTTTTGAATCAACCTATTTCTGTATTTTTACATTTGTTTTCTTTCTCTTCAGGACGTGGAGGAGGTTTATGCTGGAGATATTTGTGCTCTGTTTGGGATTGACTGTGCCAGTGGAGACACTTTTACATCCAGGGCTGGTGCTAACCTCTCCATGGTGAGCAACTTCAATGTTATTATATTCGAATGACAAATACATTTTTTCTTAATTTTGTTCCCCTTTTTTATTTCATGATGTAAAGAATCTTGTGCTTAATTTGTCACCATTTCTGACCCACAGGAATCTATTCATGTCCCAGAGCCTGTTATTTCCATGTCAATAAAACCAAATAACAAGGTAAAAACTGCTTCGATTTACTCGTACTGTATTCAAAGTCTAAATCACATGTATTAACTCTTCTCATCTTATCCTGCTCGTAACCAGATTGACCTGGATAAATTCTCCAAAGGTATGGGTCGTTTCACCAGGGAAGATCCGACGTTTCGAGTGTATTATGACGCGGAGAGCAGAGAAACCATCATCTCAGGAATGGGCGAGCTTCATCTAGAAATCTACTCCCAGGTACCCAATAAGAACAATCTTCTGGGTCTTTAATACAAGATATATGCATTAAATAGGATACATTAACTGATTGGTCTAAAACATATAGGTGAAAAACCCATGCATTTGCAAATATGACTGCTTTTAGAACTATTTTCCCCAATTTGTAATCTCAACTGTAGTTGATGATTCTTCTGACTTGATTTTAGTGATAGCTCTAGTGTAGGCCCCCAAAGTAAACCCAACTAAAGATTAAATGGATTGATCAGTCCCCTCATTTAAAAGATGTCTTCATGTTTAAGGTTTCCCTTTTTAAACCGCAGATATTTGACCTGGTATTCTGTTGGTTCATTCTTGTTTTGCTTTTTCAGAGGATGGAGAGGGAATATAACTGTCCCTGTGTGATGGGGAAACCCAAAGTGGCTTTCAGAGAGACGATCAGTGCTCCTGTACAGTAAGTGCTCTCTCGTGTACACACACACACACACACTAGTCTGTATACAGTTTATTTTGGCTAGAACCAATAGCAACCAAAATGACTGCTAAGGTAGCAGAATGTTATAATGTCATCATTATATATGATGGCTTTTTATTTGCAGCATTTCATCTACAAGAGAGGTGGGTCAGGATGTTGTTTGTTGTGGCAGCAGTGTGATGAATGTCAGCAGTTCAGTTTGTGTTTGGAGGTTTTTCACAATCATGGCAGTGTGGCAGCTGCTCCATCTGCTGCACTTTAACGCCCTCTGGAGGAGACCATGTGAACAGCAGCTTCCAGTGAATGATTTCCTGCCAAATAACACGGATTTTCAGATTAACAGGAGATTTCATGAACTGAAAGCTTAAATACTGCACATATTTGGCACGAGAGAAGTTATATTGCTCCAGATTAGGGATTTACTGCTGTAGTCTTCTTGTTTTGTGGTACTATATCACACATTTCTTCTTGTCAACTGGTACATACCAGACTTGCTTACTCTCAAATTCATCCAGTCCTGAGTTTATAAACTGATATATCAACCACTTATTCTGATAAACATTCACAATATTAGTTATTTGTCAAGGAAAAATATAATATGCCTAGTTTTTTGACGTCGTTTTTGTAGCCATCGACAGTCATTTTACCGACAGTCAAGATTTGCGTAGAGTGATGGTAAAGATAATTGTAGATTTTATTATTATAACAAGTGGTTACCTGGGACACCATCTCATGCAGCAGTACATGACAGTCAAACGTCAACTGGTGGTTCTCAGTTGCCTGCAGCAGAAAAATAATAATAAAGGCAAACGTTGAAGTTTTATAAATAAAACATTCTCGAATCACATCAGCTTTCTTTCAGCTAAATGATAATCTAATAATTATACGCTTAATGTATATAGCACCTTTCAAGCAAGATGCAGCCCAAAGTGCTTTACAGAGTAAGACAAGCTACAAAATAAGAGTGAGAAACATCATTGAAAATGAGTTATATTGCAGAACCATAAAACCTGAACAGTGATGCAACTAAAATTACCCCAAATAAAAAAGAACTTTAAAAAAATCCAATGGAGCTTTCTGTTCTAAGACTATTAAGGTCTATGATCGAAACAATGACGACTGATAATACAAAGAGTCTGAATAACATACATGTTACAAAAACGGACGAAACAAACCTACCAGCTGTGTGATGTTGGCCACCTGAGCCATGTTGTACAGAGTGTTCTCACTGGACTCATTCAGCATGATGAAGCTGGAGGCCACGATGCAGAGGTGCCAGAAAGGCTTCATGTCGGGATCAATGTGACCGTAGCTGTCTGTTGGTCACAATGTGGTGTGTTAGGAAACAAGTTAATTTGCATGTGGTTAAGCCTTGTCACTACCAATTATGCAAAGATAAATTGAGTAGTTGTCAACTTTTTTTAATTGAGGTTAACATGTTGGGCCTTGGGAAATATTGATGGACATTAACAACAAATCGATTGACCAAGAAAATACTTGACAGACTGATTGCTATGGAATATAATGTACTGGAGGTCACACCATTGAGGATCAGAATGTCAGCCATTTGTGTGGTGTTAGTATTTTTGAGAGGAACAATGAGTTCACTCAAAAACTTAGTGTTGAAATCCACAAATGCTTCACGTGCACACTGCCCTTGTTGTGCAATGCATGGCTTTGTGCATTGATCAGGAGCAAAATCAAGCAGTGTTTGTTTTCTTACCAGGTAAATTGTGTGCAGATAAAAGGCTCTGGGTCATCTTGTACTGTTGGTACAAGGCCTCTTCTTGAGCTGTGGTGTTGATTTTAAGGAGCTCCTCACACGAGGCCTGGACCTGAGGAGAGCGCTGCTGCCCCCCCCTCGGAAACAAAACCTCTGCAGAGCATTTCTCTGTCGTCTGGGGGGAGTTTACAGAGAGGGGATGGTTAAAATAAAGAAGGATATAATAGAAAGGAAGGTTTGATAAGAGAGGAGAGGGAAGTATACAGAGCAAAGGCATAGTCCAGATGTTACCATGGCAGCCAGTGAGTCAGTGTTGCACCACACTGCCTCCTTTTATCTGCTGTTTAGTTAAAGCGTGTCGGACCTGCTCGCTCTAAAGCCAGGGATTATTAACTTTAAAACACAAATGTAGCCTAAGACTAGCTTCAAATATATTTTCATTGTTTTGTGTATGGAAAATCACAACTCAAACCTTTTTAAGGTAAATGCAGCAAGTTAAACATAGTGTGTCTTCACAGACAAACCAAAGGAGGTGGGGTGGTCAAAGCTTTCGACACAGAATTTGTCATTTTAGATTTTTACGGGTACTTTTAAATAACGTACAGGTAGAATTGACAGTCATATTATTTTCGTTAAGGGCACTGTCCCTGTGAAATATAATAAAACAAATTCAAAAAGCTACCCTATACGTTAAAAAAAGCTACTCTTAAATCAAGAGCACATGGCTGTATGTAATCCACACGTAAGCTTTTTACAGTAAATCACATCTTACATTGCTGATTATCTCCTGCACTGAGATCTCCAGCTGATACTTTCTTCCAGAGTCTTCAACATCCTAAAAGCCAAGTCAGAAATATCCACAGTTAGTAAGAGAAACAACGTCACAGTAGGGTAAACTGTAAGCGTTAAACTTTGGCTGACCTCTGCATTTCCGCTGTGGACTCTGTGCAGTCCCAGCAGCCGGTATGGGGAGCCGTATCGAGTGTTGAGGTAGTGTTCGACCACTTTGGCTGCTCTCTGCGCCTGGTAGTGATTGGGGTTCAGCTCTCCTGTCGCCATCACTTCCTCGTCTGTCTCCTCTTCCACCAATATGTCCAGCTGTTAACCCAGAGAGAAGAGAGCGCAGACAGTGAGAGAGGAAATAAGAAAAAGACCGTTTTCAAAGAGGGATGGGCTTCGAAGGACTTTGACCCTCGGTTGTAAGCAGGGAGAAGCTTTTGTCTTCAGCTTCAGACACAAGGAAAACCTCCATTGGGAAAAAAGTGGAAAGCAAATACATAAAAAGAACAATAGGGTGAAGGTGGGATCTTGCCTGTAACTGAAACGCTGGAACTGCCTGTTAGTTTGACAGGTGGAAACTTGTATGTGTCCGCTGCTCTGTGTGTAGATTGGGGAGATTACTTCCCACTTCCTCCTTCAGAGCTCTTGGACTTCCCCCTTTTTTTTTTTTTTTAAAGAGACAGAGCTCTTTTCTTTTGTTTCCTCTCATCTTCTCTTTATTGAATCAGCTTTATAAACAGGAATGCTATCATGGATCAGTAACATTTGTTGCTCCAGTGTTTGAGCTGCTATTCAAATTTTAAATGAGATTTCCGTGATGGATTAGCAAGGTGTTTGATATATTTGTATGTGACATCCCAAGTGTATCAGTGCCAACACTGATGATATCTGATACGTTTCACTAATATTGGTCTGATACTAGTAACTGTAGTCTAATGACAAATGGAGGTGCAGAACTTAGTGAGTCTTCTTGTAACTTTGTATTTAACAATAACATGAGTTATTTTTGTGTTAAATGGCTCCGAAAGAAATCATAAAAATAGAGTATTTTTACATTGCTTATGTATTACAGAAAGATATCTCGTACACACACAGGAAAGGAACAAGATCTAGATTTCCCTGTCTTCACTAAACCAATATATGGTTAATATTTGAGTTGACTATTGAGTATCATCTTTTTCAGTTAGTCTTCAGGCATCCATCTTGTGTTGGTGGTTCTGTCTTCTACCATATCTGTAATCTCTTACTGTACTACCATATTTAAAAGTACAGTACCATACATGACCTAGCTATATCCAAAATGTATTAAATAATAGTGCACTATTATTTGTAATACTTAGGTACAGCAAACATTAATATCCATCTAAGAAATAAAATAATTTGGGATTTGTTTTGAATTCTGTACTTATTTGTGCTCTCTTTTTTTCTTTCCCTGCAGGTTTGACTTCCTTCACAAGAAGCAGAGCGGCGGCTCGGGGCAGTATGGTAAAGTTATCGGATACATTGAGCCTCTTGATGGCGAGAATCAGACCGGCCTGGAGTTTGAAGACCTGACTGTTGGAACCAACATCCCGAAGCAGTTTGTACCAGCTGTCGAAAAGGTTAGTTTCCCAAACTTTAAAAAGTAGGAAAAAAAGCTACAAAGGTTACTTGAACTCTAAGCTAAAGACAAGCTCTTGTTTTTCTGTAATTAATTGTTTCTTCCCATCATGCTGCAGGGCTTCAGGGAGGCCTGTGAGAAGGGACCCCTGAGCGGGCACAAGATCTCAGGACTGAAGTTCGTCCTGGAGGATGGAGCGCATCACTTGGTGGACTCCTGTGAGATGTCCTTCATCCGTGCAGGGGAGGGTGCTCTAAAACAAGGTGAGGGTCTGACCTCCTGTTTCACGTCTGTTGTCGTTGTTGTCAGCATTTGTTAATGCAATGCGTTCTCCTCAGCGATGGAGAGAGCCAGCACGGCCATCCTGGAGCCCATCATGTCTGTGGAGATCGTAGCTCCTGTAGAGTTTCAGGGAGCGGCCATCGCTGGTGTAACCCGCCGGCAAGGAGTCATCTCCGAACACGACGGGACGGAGGGATACATCACCCTGTGCGCTGAGGTGAGTCCAGTTTGTGAATGACGCGCATGCATCTGCAGTCTTCAGCTTTCATTTGTTGTCTCTTATGCTCCTCCATCCTTGGTATTTGACGAGTTTACAAACTCTTCCCAACAGATTCCACTTAACAACATGTTTGGATACGCCACAGAACTACGCTCCGCCACTGAAGTAAGTTCAACCCTCAAACGCCAACATCTGTAGTGCATATACTGTAAAGTGAATGCTATTCCCTGTGTTTTTATTCATCAATGGATGAAAAGCTTTCTAAAATAGTAGCATTCTAATGAAAAGACCAAATGCTACATATTCCGTATTAATACAAATTAAAACAATTTGTTATGAATATAAACATTATTACTTTCTATATTGCAAATACATCTACTTTTCCTGTTTACATTTAATGTATCCATTTGAAATACTATCAGCCAGTACTTGACTTTATTTAGTTTTATTTATGCCTTAGTTTCTTATTTGCTTTGACTTGTTTCTTTTACTGAATATAAAGATATTTAAACAACTTTGTTGAAAGGTGCCTAAGAGCCAATATTTGTTTTGATTACCAATGCTTTGTAGTAATAATAAAGAATATTGATTAAATGGTCTATTGAAACATGCTGGATTTCCCAGCCTTGAGTAATTCCTGCAGTCTTCCTTTCTGGTTGTTGGCAGGACCTCCACCAATCAATTCAGAGGAGTCTTAGAGTTCAAAACAACTTTGATAAACTAACATTCTTTATCTGATGTTTATTTAGGGAAAAGGGGAGTACACCATGGAGTACAGCAGATACCAGCCCTGCCTGCAGGCAACACAAGAGGAAATCATCCAGAAATACTTGGAGTCTACAGGGCAGCTGCCTGCGAAGAAGAGCAAGTGGAAGGCCTAAAAAAGCATTATCCACCGATTAGACTGGACTTTAACACGACAGCCGTCTCTCATTTCTACACACATCGACCGTGACTCAACAATAAGGCCTACATTTGAGGAGCCATGAAAAAACTGACACTTTACTTTTGTAGCTATTGTTTCTCCCTGACCCACTGCAGAAAACATATTTATTACCTTGATTTTACAAACATTCGACCTTGTTGGTATAAAAAACTCTGTGTTTTGACTTGAGCGTAAAATGGCTATTGTACTATGTACAGAATGGTCTGCAACAAAGATATATATCCATCTTTTAAAGTGTTGTTCTTTTGATGTGCGCGTCATTTGTCTCCACAACTACAAATGCCTTCTTTTTCTTGTACAGCAGCATGCTCCTGGCAACCTGTAGTTCTAATGATGTAAATGATTATCTACAAAAATATAAAAACAGCTATATGGATCTTTTGTTGACGATGACTTGACTTGCTTGTCAATTAGGCAATTTTTTTTTTTTACTAAGTAATGAGAACACAAGATTGAAAGTGGTGCGTTTGACTGGTTCTTATGGAGATACTCCATTTTATGGATCAAAAAAGTTGTAGTCAAGCCTCCCTAGAAAAGAAAAACGATTCCAAATCAAAGCTAGATCTTCCTCACCGTTTCAGAGAGCTTTGTTTCCGCCACTGTCTCTGGGACGCTGTTGGGATGAACCGTCGTGAACGCTGAGTCAGCTTCAGGTCTGGGCGTCACGCTGGGGCTCCCGGTCACCCCACTCAACACAGCCAGAAGCACAACCATCCTCAGACTCATTATAGTAAGCTGTAAAACACAGAGGCCAGAGAAAAGGAGAAAACCACTTCTGTGAAGGAGCGCAGGAAAGGAAATGACCCTCCTGTCAGTGTGGAGTTATGTAACGGAGGAGGAGGGAGCAGAAAGAAGAGACTGTCCAGAACTCTGTCTTCCTGGCACAATCTGTTTATTTTGTTCTCCTCTTAACTAAACAAACTGCTCCACTTTATCTGGTTCTGTTCCTCATACGCTCTCATGCAACTCACTTAAGTTGTCAGCGCCTAAATGTTTCCACAGCCTCACGAGATGAACTGATTAGTTTAGCAACAGTAATCCCATTAGAGCAGCTGTGACTAATGAGAGCTTGATGTTTTGCAGCCTCACTCGGTCCACTGTGTGCCAGATTAAATGAAGCAGGATGTTCACTGAGACAAATCAAACACGTCCTGGCAATTTGGGGTTGTTAAAACGCAAAATCTACACAGTTAAATATATATTAAGGAGAGTTATCAAGTCAAATCAAGTTTTATTTAAATAGCACATTTTGAAAACGATTTTTGG